TGTGCCAATGTGCCCTAATCCAGCTCCTGAAGGCACATGTTACCCAGGATTAAATTCTACTTGTAACCCTCCTTAACTGCTAGCATTAAAGCACTTCCAGCATGTACGATGTCACTTCAGTCTGCAGTGAGCTCACTGGCTTTAAACTAGATGTAAGCAGATGCTGCCCCAGAACAGTCAGACCTTTTACTTTTAAAATATAGTTATTATCCGTATCATATATATAGCCATCAGCTATGTAAAATAGTATCTATATATTTGAAAGTATTATTCTTATATATTTTATATAGAATCTGTTCATAATTTGATTAACCATATCAAACTAAATCCCCAGATAAGAAATAACACACACACACATTTGACTACTGCAATAATATTTCTTATTCTGAATATTTTTATGTAAAAAGCCACTTAAGTGTGGCTTGTCTAACAAATAAAACAATCACTTATGGTTTGGGAAAAAGCAAATACAGATATAAAGAAATAGAAACCAATTTATCAAAAGCCAATTGGCTTAATGTTTTAGTAGTGAAATACATATATTTAATTTTATATAAGAGATATTTTAATTTTTAAGAAAGAATATTGCTGTTTTTCTTTTTTGTTTCATTTTTAGCATTAAGGAGAAATGCAGTCTGATGGTATCCTTTCAAATTGGTCTTACTCTCCTGAAGAAAAAACAAAACAAACAAAAAAAGCGAACAAACAAACAAAAAAACCTGTCTTGGTACAAGAAGAGAAAGAGAACATCATAAAAACAATTTGAAGTTTACCTTCTCTTATATCCCACAGTTCACTTGCACGGTAATATCCTGTGGTATCTAGTGCCAGCTGAAGGCTTTTTGGCCAGTGCTCCTTATCCGACCGACAGAGACATTCAATGAGTTTAGTTATGCCTGCTGCTTTGCTTCTGTTTTCACTAATCTGCATGTACAACAAATAGAAGTTGCTGTTGCCTGAGAGTAATCAAAAGCAATTCTCTGACATTTTGATTGATTTATATTGTTTGATGTTCAGTTGAAAATTACATTTCCCTCCCACAGAAGAAAAAAAAAAAGTCTCCAAAAAATGTGGTCATTTACCTACTACTGCTGCAATTCCGCCTGCCTAGGTGTATACTAAGATTAGCTGGACTACATCAACAGACAGGCTATTTGCTTAAATATTTAGAACACCATAAAGCAAACCGTGTGGCAGGCCTGATATTTAGTCAGAGGTAATCTTCCTAAATGTTATCTCCGTAAAGAAAAAACTCTTTTAAGATAAAATAGCTGCAAACAAACCTCCTCAGGAGTCACAAGGAGCAAGAACACCTTACAGGCTCCTTCACCTAGCATCAATAATTTATTATTACCATTCACTCATTAACTACCACAGGTTAGTGTTAATTGTTATCAGCCATCAGTCAGTAATGACACTGAGGTGGAGCTGGATAACAGTAAAATTGCTTCACATCTAGAAGTGTTAAAAACATCTGTGACACTGCATTTAGCTAATGACTTTGGACCAGAAGGTTTATTTTACTCAGTGGGCATCTCTTTGGGTGCTGACAAAACTCAAAATGCCATACAAAGTTTCTAGGGTTTTCCACAGTCCAGATAATAGTCTATCTGAAACCCCATTACAAGTAAGAATCAGTTTAGCTGATATCTAATTGCCATTTTGCCTACATCCACCTCTATTTCTAGGAGGCTTAATGCAGCATGAATGCTCCAAAAAGGGGACTACTGCAAGGCATAGCAAGACACCCATTTGACCACAACATGGCACCTTCCAGAAGCCCTGAGGTTTCTTCTCTGGAGCATCGACTCTGCAAACATATGTGGCTGAGCACAGACAATGCCGAACATTTGTACAACAGCAACACCAGGCAAATACAGGGATTTTGTCATTAACCAAACCTGCTGAATCTCTTCACACTCCCTGTCTATCAGGCATGTGCTTATATAGGGAATGAGCGCTACTGGGTCGACTTCTAACATTGTTGCCTCTATCCGCTTCAACAGCTGTCTGTGTAACTCCAGTTTTTCCAGTTTGCTGAAGTCCCAGTTCTCAATTGCTTCTGCCAGTCCTGTGTAACCTTCAGGAAAAAAAGGGTCAAAGAGTTACTATTAATTCAACTTCTGGCTAGAATACCCATGTATGAGCTGCAATACACTTTCTTAGCCACTCTGGAGAAACTAAATTGTTTTGGCTTGTGACTGACAGAAGTCTAGGCGAACAACAATTTTTATGGATTCAGTGACTATTTACATTACCACACCTTCATGTAAGTCCTGGTTTTGGCTGGAACAGATTTACTTTTCTTCCTACTGGCTGGTATGGTGCTGTGTGTTGGAGTGAGGATGAGAAAAATTTGATAACACATGGATATTTCAGCTGTTGCAGAGCAGTGCTTGCACAGAGCCAAGGACCTTTCAACTTCTGGTGCTGCCCCACCAGCGAGGAGGCTGAGTGTGCACCAGGAGCTGGGAGGGGACACAGCCAAGACAGCTGGCCCAAATGGACCACACGGATGTGCCATGCCATGGGGTGTCATGGTCAGCAGTAAAACTGGGGGAGTTGGCTCAGGGCACTGCCTCTATTTGGGATCTGTCTGGGCATCAGCCAGTGGGTGGTAAGCAATTGCATTGTGCATCACTTGCTTTGTATATTCTATTGTTATTGTTATTGTTTTCCCTTCATTTTCTGTCCTATTAAACTATTTTTACTCAACCCATGATTTTTTTCACCCTGTTTTGATTCTCTTCCCCCATCCCAGTGGGAGTTAGTGGGAGAATTAGCAAATGGCTGTGTGGTGCTTAGCTGCCTCCCGGGTTAAACCACAATATGTGGTTTAGAAAAGACTTTTGCTAAAAGAGCAGTAATACTTGCAAGGAGGACAAAAATGCCATAAAAGGTCACTGAGTATGTTCCCTAAGTGGCCGTTACAACCCACTTCCTTTGGTCCATACAATCCTCGGATCCACTCAGTCTTTGTAAATACTCCTACATAATTTGTCCAGAGCACAGACACTACTCTGCATCACGAGAGCCTTTGGACCCCTTTGATTTTATTCACCATCTACGTTTTATTCCTGTCCTTGGCTCCACCCTCATTTAGTATTTCCTACCGTAATGCATTCACTTCAGAACCCTGACTGAGAACTAGTCAGAGGACTTCTGCCTAGTTAGTCAGCAAACAGCTGAAAACAATGTAATGGGACAGAAAAACAGCAGGGAATACCACATAGACGACTTGCATGATTTGTCTTGGTTCAGAAGAGAAAGAAAGCAGGACGTTACCCCAGAGGGACAGTGGGAGCACAGAACAATTTCCACAGCTTTTTCTTGTCTTTTGGAGGAGCAGAAGAGCAGTGTGGGTACTTACCACCATGGTGTCTTTAACCTGGTTGTCACCTATCTCTTCATTTGCCAAGGACAAGAGTAATGCTCATTTCTAGTTTAAGGCCAAAGAGCTCTGTTAACTGTTGCAACCCAAAATGAAAATGAGTAAATAGCACTTGGGGATAGCACTTGGGGTCGGTAGGCAGATGTTTGCAGTGTTTCTGCTGGACATACACCAAACCAAATGCTATGAAAACGTTTAAAGGGGGCCTTTGTTTGGAATCCAGGGATCAGCAATATAACACCATGGGAAAAAGTTGCCCTAGAACGAATATTTGCTTCACAGGGAGGGCAGGACAACATCCAAGCGGTAAGAAAGCCAGCAACAACTGCTCCCTGAGGTACCGCAGCCATCGATACAGTAAGTGAAAGCAGAAGTGGCTTTTCTCATGAGACCTGTGGAGATGAGGTCTCTGACAAATCCCCAGCAGCAACCTGTGCCAGAACCCACTCCTGGAGAGCGGAGATGCCAAACCCTGACCACTTTACGCTTCCACCATCTTTTTTTTCTGCCACCTGCGGGGACCTCACACACCCTGCAGCCACAGCTCCCCGGGGGGGCTCCCCGTGTCCCGAGGGGGGGTGGTGGTGCCCTGTCGGGGGTCCTCCTTCCCTCACACCCACCTGCGGCCAGCATCGCGTCCAGCATCCCTCGGAACCACCCCCGGGCCTCCAGCTGCAGCACGGCGTCCAGGAAGAGCGCGGCGGCGCCGCTCACCCCCCTCTCCTCCTCCTTGCGGATCCTCTCCCGCAGCTCTGCCGCAGAGAAGCGCTCCCGTCAGGGCTGCAACCCGACGGGGGGGGGTGGGGGAATCGGGGACACCCCCAGGGGCCCTGGGGAGGGTGTGGGGAGGGGGCGGCTCACCGTCGGGCAGCCAGTCCGTCATGTTGCCCAGCACGTAGACCGGGTTGAGGCTCCGCTCGATGTAGCGGCGGTAGCACTGCAGGCTCCGCTTCTCCTCCGCCGTCATGGCTGGGCTCTGCCGGCCGCCGCCCGGCCCGGCCCGGCCCGGCCCCCCAACCGGCTCGGCACAGAAAGGCAGCGAGGCCCGGCGGGGAATGGAAAACGAAAGCGGCCCCCGCGGGGTGTGGAGATCGCGGCCCCATCCGCAGCCCGCCCTCTGGCCGCCAGCGGGCATAGGCAGCGGCTCGCAGCTTCGTGAGCCTCGGATCGCCACCAACAGCCTCACCGGGACACCGAGACACGGGCCTGGGGTCCAGCACAGCCGCTCTCCCACTCCGCCTCCTCAAAGGGAAACGGGGAGAAAATGCGATGGAAAGGGCTCAGGGGTTGGCACAAGGATGGGGAGAATAGAATTAATTGCCTATCACTAACAGACTAGCAGTGAGAAAAAATAAAAGGAAATGAAAAACACCTTCCCCACCATCCACCCTCCTCTACCTCTTCCCCCCAGGCAGTGCAGGGGAATGGGGGCTGCGGTCAGTCCCTGGCACTTTGTCTCCGCCGCTCCCTCTCCCTCACGGTCCCTCTCTGCCCCTGCTCCCCATGGGGTCCCTCCCAGGGATGCCGTCCTTCCCGAACCGATCCCGCGGGGGCTGCCCACAGGCAGCAGCTCTTCAAGCACTGCTCCCACACGGCTCCGTCCCACGGGGTCCATCCATCCATCCCCCAGGAGCAAACTGCTCCAGCACGGGTCCCCCATGGGCAGCAGCTCCCCAAAGATCCCAAATGTAAGGTTCTCTCACATTTTCTCACTCTCTCCCAGCTGCTGTTGCCCTAGGCTACAAATGGCCCTAGGCTAGGAGAGACTTGCATTTGGGCTGTTAGCTTAACCAGAGCAATGAGAAGGACCAGAGAAATATCATGCACAGCTGACCAAGACACAGAAAGGCTATCCACTGCTAGACTGGGGAATGCTGAACAACTGAGAGAGGACATCTTCTGCAGCAAGAAAAGGGCAGGTGAACAAGCCCCTGTCAGTCATCTCTCCACCCTGCATTTTCAGTAAGGTAATCTCTTAGGGCTTAATTTGCTTGTGAGTAACAAGGAAGAAGCGTTAGCCCCTACGTGAGTTGCCCAACACACCCTGTAGAGCATGGTGATTAGCCTGACAGGTAACAAACATAGCAGAGAGGCATTTTTACTTGGTAGTGCCTGTTGAGCCTATTTCCACTTGAGAAATGCCTATTACAGCTTTCATTCAGTAATGAGTGATATTAGCACTCAGGTTCTGCTCCTCACAGACAGAGTGTTCGAAGATTCAAAGATCAGTGCTGAGGGTGGGTTGCAATTGCTCTGCCAAGCAGAAACCCAGTCTTGTCCTTCACCTGAGAAGAGGAGGAAATCAAACTCCTTGCTTGCTGCTTCTCCAGCCCTAGATGGAGAAGTCAATCTGCCCAGTGAAGTGGACCTGCTGCTCTTCAACAAAGCTGGCACTGGAGTGCACGGGGGAATAGCACCTCTGATCGTGCATGCAGGAGGTGGGATGCACCTGCTGGGCAGGGTGGCTGCAGGAGGGGTACTGAGGGCAGCAGGGATCAGTCCCACCAGGCTGGAGATGCACCTGGTGAGCACAGGAGGCTCTCCCAGGCTTTGTTGGTGCAGGGCAGTGGTGCAGTGGGATGGGTTGTGGCCTGTGCGGTATCTCATGCTCATATCCTCAGTGGCTGTTTTATGCTACATCGTAACTGGTGGGTTGCAGTGGCCAAGCACATCGGGTGAGAAGAAGCTGCAGCACTGGGAAGACCTTAACCTGCTTGTGCTACTGCAAACCATGGTGCTGAGCAGTTTTCTGGAGAACTTTCTAGGCAAGGGTGTAGGAAATATGTTACTTTTTCCCAAAATCACTTGTGGCTGTCTGGAAGGGTCCCTGTGTGACCCACCAAGTCCTGCCTTAGAGAGTGTGGTCCAGCTGGTGGGAATAAATGCTTTTCTTGATTGTTATTATTATTTTTTCTTTTTCAGAGCATAGTGTGTAGTTGTGTTCCTCAGCTTTAAATTTTGCATGTCCAACTTTTTGCAGGTCATCAGCTGTAGATTTTCCTCGTGATCACCACCTGGAAGCAATTGCCCAAATGGCAGAGAGCAAAACATCACAGGAGGTTTTGAGGCTGATGGCTAGCCATAGCTGATGGGACCACAAGAAGAGAAACTGACAGGTGTGGCAAACGGGAGATGGAAAAGTGTGTGGCCAGGAGAAACTATCAGAGAGCACTGGGAAGCCTGAGGGTGACAAATGACAGACAGTGGCAAGAGAGGGGAAATTCTGGCTTACTGGTGTGGGTGGTGCTGTAGGGTCAGCAAATTCAGGTGCTAAGTTAGCAAGGCAGGGCCCAATAAGGAAGGAGAGAGTGAGATGGATTGTGTGGGAAAAGGAGTATCAGCTCAATGCCGTCTACTGGATAGACCAAGTGTCTAAGGTCAGTTACTGGAGGGATCCACAGTGCGTGTGTGTGTACATGAGGGTCTTTATCCCACCTCCAGGTGCTGCTGAGACCAGTCTCCAGATCTTTGACCCACCCCTGGACACACAGGCCAAGAGAAATTATCTCTAAGGACCCTGGGGCTTCTTGTTGTTGTGGGGAGGCCGCACATGCTCAAATGCATGTCTGCACCTGTCTGCTGGAGCTTGGCTCAGAAGCCACCTCCACAGTTGGCTGTACTCCCACGGGACCCAAAGCTACAAGGATGAGTCCGTGCCAAGGAAACCAGTGCCTGGCATTACAATCTCTGAGCACATCTTCAAGGCCTTTCAATTTCCACCCTTGCTCGTTCTCAAACTTCTTTTCTCCACATCCTCATCTTCTAATACATTTAAAGCTTTTGTTATTCCAAAGCCTTTGAATCATCTCAGGGTCTGTGAAGGAGAAGCAGGAAGAAATTCAGATCTTCAGACATGTAACGTCCCAAGACAACTGCAAATCACTGAGGAGTTGTGGTACACTCAGCCCTGACACTACAGCTTGGATGTAGCATCCTCAAAGTGCGTGAGGAAACAGGCCATTAATAATTTTATTTCCAGGTGGTACACTGAAATTAATACCCCAAGTCATCAGAATTTGTATCTGATTTTCTCCAAATACTTATTTTTTTTCAACTCATGGGTCAAGTTAATAATATGCTTGGCAAATCAAAGAGGCCAACAGGATTTGTATTTATACTTATGTTGGCCTGCAGCTGAAACAAAGCAAGAAGAGGATTAGGCATACAGCAGCCAGCACTGTGCCCAGTCCCAGCTCCAGAACCATGTCCAAGTGAATGCTGAGGACACACAATGGGCTGGAATTAACAAATTGGTGTGGGAGGCTGGAAAACACGGAATTGAAGGAAGAGAAAGCAGATGGAGGAAAAGAGATGTGAAACAGAGATTGTACTTCAAAATATCTCCATCATAAAGCCTCACAAATTTCAAATAAATGAATTTCCAAAGACATAAAAAGTACAAAATCAAGCAGAAGTTTTGAAATGCTTAATGTCTTTAAAATTGTTGCAGCAATTACCAAGGACATTTGTTGATTGCATCTGTGAATAAAATTATAAATAAGATCAGAAATAAAAAATATAATTTGACCATTAATTTAGGTTTGATGACCCAGTGCAGGAAAAAGCACTTGAGCACATGTTTAATTTCAACCTGTTAAAAGCACATGTTTAGCTATATTTATGAATCCTAACATTTCATAAGACATCAGAAAACTAGATGAAAAAAATTACTGAATCTTCATGGTAAGATAACATGACAAGATTACCCCACATCCCTAACATATGCACAAGCCTTTCACTGCAAATAAGACGTTCAATAATTAAGTAAAAAGAAATCACTTTAAAAACACAGTTTAACAAGTGCTGCTAAATACAGTCTTTTTCATAACCCGTTAACTCTTTGCTGTTGCCTAGCCTTGGCTAACTCCTCTGAGCATCCCCGGCAGTCAGTGGAGACAGCAGCCAAGAACAAACAAGACAAACACTGATGTTTGCAGCAGCTTTTTAAATACTTGCACACACAAGTACATAATTTTTTTCTTGACCTGGAACAACAAAATGACTAGAGAGTGTAGTGATCAGTGGTCACTGCAGTCCTATGGAGAAGGCAGTGATTTTGTGTCTTGAGTGTTGTGATGGCGTTGAACACACGACGTGGCTCTCACCAACACATCCACCCAGAAGGATGATGCTCATGCCAAAAGTGAAGGATATGCATGGCATATGTAAAAGCATTGTGCCTAAGAAGCATTTTCCATAGTCACAGGCATTATCTCATGGAGACATTACAGGGGAAAAGGAGATGGCAGCAGATTAAAACCTTTGGGTTGACCTTATTTGCTGGGAACCGTGCTCCTTTGTCATAGGTTTCTGCATGCAAACTCGTAGCAACTTGGGACTCTGCAATTTAATACCTGAAGGAAAAATTCCAGCACCTGCATGGAAGTAAAAACTGCCCAGCGCCTAAATAACCCTCACAACCCCAAATCCTTCGTTGCGCTGAACGGGAGAGGTCAGGAGATGGCGCTGCCTTCCCTTGGGTCTTTCCACGGTGTGGGCACGGTTTGGTGCACACCGCAGCCGAGGGACACGCGTTACAACAATGTGCTGGCTCGCGTTGTTCAGCAGGCACGGAAAGAGTCCCACAGAGACCTCAAAGAGGCTCCTAACCAAACACAATACCACTGCTGTTCTTCAGAAACCCAGGTGAGCTTCAGGTGTCCAAGAAAATTATTTTTCAAAGGTCTAGAATCAGTGTCCTAAACCCATATCTCGTCTGTGATCCTGAAGAGGCTTATTCACATTTAAAGATTAATACAAGATCAACTAAATGCCCAGGTTCACTGATTTCAACTAAACTACCTCAAATTTATCATGGCTTACCAATCCCTGTGGATCCACAGATGCTCAATGTATTTAATGAAGCATGGACTGAGTATCTAGGAGAACAAGAGTATCTGCATTGATGGAGATAATAAATAAAATAAACATTATAGCTCCAAAAAATGATGAACAATCACTGGCTTCTTGCTACTGTAGCAATAACCCTTGAAGATTACGCTGTTCTTCATACTGATGAGCTACAAGAATGTGTTTTCTAAATCTTTGTTTTACTATCCATTGTCAAAAGTGAAAAAACAATTCAACAAATAAATTTGGTTACTGCATGCTCAAAAGGAAAAGGCACATCTGACCTTTTAATTCCTTAGTTTTTCCTTAGAACCCAATTCTGTTTCTCAGTTCATAAAAAAAAGACATTTTGTTTCATTTACAAATCTTTCTAAAGATTTCCTAAAACTAAACTGAGATCACTTGTATCTCTGTTTTAAAAGTCAGTACTGGTTTGCAGAGAAGCTCCTTACAGCATACATCTGGATAAATAAATACAGAGGGAATTATTTTTGCTTCCCCATGGGAAAAGGCAAGCAAACAAAACAAAAACAAACAAACAATTTTTCATGGCATTCTCCTACATTAAGTGTTAGAATAAAATTTTAAAATTCTAATTTTAATGCATTTAAGAGGCTGTGTTCACCATTTTTCAGTAATGAACTGAAAACATTCTGCCAAATCCAGGCTGATTTTCTGCCAACAGCAACACATCTCACCAAGGCTCAGAGGAACCCTTTACCCGTCTGTGGTTTCCAGCAGCTCCTTGGGACTGGCAGAGTGAGCACTCTTCTCCTTTTGCAAAACGTCCAGGGGAGGCAGCCCCCTCCTGCAGCCCCCCGTCATTCCCACAGATGGTGGGAGGGATGCCTCGGGAGGAGGGTGCCTTCTGACCCCGCGCAGCCCCGTCACACCTCTGTGAATCCTCTTTGTAAGTCACTGGCTGCCATTCAGCAGTCTTTTAGTGGCAGTTTCCCATGCAGAGTAAGTAGCTTGCACTTTCCGGAAGAAAATGTGGAGAGAATACTGGAGTAAAAAGATCAATGGGAAAATTACTTCTGGTGTGCACAGAATAAAAGGTCTTTCTCTGGTTTCAAAGCAGGGATTGTACAACTGAGATTCAAAACTAAAACTGACTATTTAAGGCTGTGCAACTTCAAAAAGAAAGTATTAATAAAACCAAATTTCTGATCCCATCCAGAGCAACACTGATTTCAAGGGGATACATTTGCAACCCCTTGAAGGATACTCTCTCCCCATGGTTTTGGAGCAAAGAGAAGATGGCACAGGAAATAGGCAAAACAATTTTGTCATGCCACAGAAAACAGCAATTAAAGCAAAACTGGAAAAAAAGAAAGAAAAAAAAAAAGAAAAATAAAAAGGACCATTGCCCACCCCTCCACAAAAAAAAAAAAAAAAAAAGAAAAAGAAAAAAAAAAGTGAAAAAAGGGCCTTGTTACTTTTAGCAGATACAGAAGACAGATGCCTTTTAGCATGAATTTATGTCTTCAATGGCAGTTCAAAAATAACATTTAAAACTAGTCGAAGAACATACTTTCAAGGAATATATGCAATTATTCATAGTGAATACATGTCCCTCGAAGGCAACCCGGGGCCCAATCCTGCATGGGCTGGCTGCCTGGCAGACCCCATCACTAAATCATCTGGATTTCCACAGGTCTGTCCAGACCCCAAACTTTTCTGACCCTGTAGAACTTCCTGTGAGGTTCTTGTAAAGCTTTATTCCTTGTTAAATCATTACTGGGACACAACATCAAATTCAGTTAACTTGATTAAATCATGAAGGTGCTAATATGTCTGGGAATAGCCCTCCTTTTGCAACTAAACTGAAAGAAAGACACAAGTAAATTAATTGTGTTTAGTTTGACAAGAAGTCGCATTCCAGTTAAAATAAGGAAACAGAAATGTACATTGCCCAAATTATGCTAACTTTCAGCCTCACAATGAGCAATGCTGCTCTTTTTGGGGGGAACTAGGAGGGAGAGGAGTGGAGAAAAGGGCAAGTGCAGAAGTAAGGCCCCCAGCCCTGTTCAGACAGTCACAGAGACATTGCTGGAGCTTTGCAACACCCTGGGAGCTGCGAGAAGTGTGACAGCCTGCAGGACTGAGACGCCAGCGGTTGTTTGCAAATAGTGATGGATGCATTGTAAAAATTTTCTGTTGACATTGCACTGTGAAATTTTGCTTCTAAAACCACAAATGAAGAATAAAGCTCTGAGCATACAAAGGTCTGTGAGGAGAGGCTGAGGACACTTGGCTCATCTAGTCTGGAGAAAAGGAGGCTGAGAGGCAACCTCTCTGCTCTCTGAGGAGACGAGGCAGAGAGGGAGGTGCCGATCTCTGCTTCCTGGTGAGTGATGGGAGGACACGAGAGAACGATAGAATGGCACAGAGCTGCAACAGAGAAGGTTCAGACAAGGCATGAGGAAACATTCCTGTACTGTGAGGGTGGTCAGACACTGGAACAGGCTTCCTAGCGGGGTGGTTGGTTCCCCAAGACTGTCAGTATTCAAGGAATGTCTGGATGATGCCCTCGATAACATGTTTAAACTTTTGGGTAGCCCATTGGCATCCTGAGGAAAAAAACAGCTGCTATACAACACTTAAATGTGTCCTTTGTGACACAGAGCATATCAATGGTCAGATCTCACTGCTTTGGTCAGCAATTAGCATGGAGCTAAAATCCTCTTGCCTGTAGGATAACATAACCAACATACATTTAGGAAGCTGCTTTTCTGCTTGAGCTGCCCTTCATTCATTCATGGGGGCTGAGAGGGAATAGACAAGATACATCAACAAAGTTGGTGCCTCACTCTCAACTAGCACAGTGTTGGTAGAAATTGGCATGAATTCGTTGTGATGCAAGAGGCATGTTATACTGTTTGTACTGAATGGACAAACTGGCATCCTAAGGCAAGGCAGCTGCATTCATCACTGGGGTTTCTAAATACAAAGCTCTGACAGCTCAATAGGAAACTACTTCTATTTATAATATGAATAGCCTCTCTCCTCCGAAGACAACAGGAAAAATCCAAAGACATAGCCACACATCTGTGCTAGGTCATTCCCACGGACCACCCCATTCAAGGATTCTCCTGCTGAGGTGCCCTCCTTGACTTTCCCCAGCCACTGAATTTGAGGGTATATAAATGCCTTCCCCATCCTAGACAGGACATAGATGCATCACTTTGAAGAATTTGGTAGGATACATTCCTGTGCTTGCACAATCAAATTACAAATAGACATTAGCTCAGAGAATTTCTAATCTTTGTCTGGGAGTTAAGTAATGCTAAATGCTCAGAAAAGATTGGTAAAGGGTGAAGGAAAGTAAAGAAAATGAACCAAACCTACCATTGTGCTCTTCTTCTGTGTCATGCTGTGAGGACAGGAGGAAGAACAAAATTACCATGATTTGGTATTCTCTTCATTAAAAAAAAATATATAAAAAAAAAATAAAATTACCCATTGCAGGGTCTCTCTCTCTCTCTCTCTTCTTCTCTCTCTCTCTCTCTTCCTTTTTTCCTTCCTTCCTTCCTTCCTTCCTTTGCACGAAATACCAGTGTCTTCTGAAAATGTTTGCACTAAAAAGAACTGCAGAATTTTATGAAATTATGGCTATTTTAATGACAGTTAGATCATTGGTAACATACTTACTGTTAGAAATTATATTTTGAGGGCTTTTTAATGTTTTCAAAAAGTCTGGAGTAAAAGTTTATCTGTGACTTTAATTGTAGAGTCCTTGCGCTGAACATGCCACCATCTAGGACCTCTGTCATGACTTTAATCTTCTTGCTTTGTGGACATTCAATTTGGTGATACTGTGCTGAGAAGAGATGGGCCAAATGCTCTGCAAAAGCAACCTTCAGTTAGATTGCACAAGGGTCAGCTGCCGGAATATTGCAAAACGCCTGCCCTCAGAACTAACAGATCAACCCGTTTTCCCTTTTGACTAAGGAGAAACTGAAAATCTAGAAAATGGCCAACCTCTTTATTATGTTGAAACTTCATCTAATTTTGATGCGAAACCATTTTGCATTAATTGTTTCTAAAGAATGCTCCTCCCACCATTCCTTACAAACCTTAATTAACTACATATTTAATTATAGCACAGTGGACAAACTGCTGCTTGAAAGACGCACAGGTAGGAAAAGGAAAGGAGCATTCTTTCATGGTTCATTTATAAAAAAGCATGTGGGGCAATGAAAATAATGAAGAAGAAAAGAAGGAGCTAATTTAGGGATTAAAGCTGAAGAGTGATTTAGTAAAGAAGAACAAATATGTAACACTAGATGTAAAAGCTTAGCCTTTGGGCAAGATTATTGTCAGAATTCGTGCTCCAAGTACACATGTTCAAGCTTTACTGAGGTGGGAACATCAAACAAAAAAAAAAGATCAACTTAAAATCCAATTTATTCTTCAGAGCACCTGATAATATCTAAGAAAAAAATCAACTGTTGATTTTTAAAATGTACTTTATTTTTTTTTAACCTATTTGAAAGGTTGACGATCTTCCTTTTGTGTCCATATTATTTTCTTCTCTTTACATCCTTGTGGTGAAAATTCCCCATAGATCTAAAGCAAATGATCCATATGTGCCAGAATATTTTACATCTGTCCTCAGTTTCTCCTCAATCCCAGAAATTCTAGAGGCAGCAAGGCACAACATAAAAATTGATGTTACATGTCCTGCTTGTGGCATGGGTCAGCAGGGAAGGATGCAGATGATCTTCAGAAAAGGACTATGGACAAGGAGTGAAAAGCCAGATCAAAACAGAACCCTAAGCTCTGGATGATATGTATACAAAAGCAAAAAGGTAAGGAGCACAAAAGCCATTACTTCACCTTCTTGCTACAGGATAATGCCAGTGATGTTGGAAATGCACACAGGAGAACAGACAGCTGATAAGGCAGAAAGGGTTATAGTGAAGATTTGCCTCTAAATCACAGAATCATAGAATCAGTTAGATTGGAAAAGACCTCTGAGATCATCTTGTCCAACCTTTAACCTGCCAAGTCCACCATTGAACCATGTGACTAAGCACTACATCTATATATTTTTTGAAGACCTCTAGGGATGGTGACTACTTCCCTGGGCAGCCTATTCCAATACTTCACAACCCTTTCAGTGAATAATTTTTTTCCGAATATCCAACCTAAACCACCCCTGGTGCATCTTGAGGCCATTTGCTTTTGTCTTATCACTTGTGTTGCTTGTGAGAAGGCTGTAAATGCTTTTTCTGCTCACTGACAGATTGGTCTTTTTTTCAGCATCAGTGACTCATGTGAAGATTTTTCATCATGTCTGAAGATAGCGACATGGCCAAAATCTCACAAAATCTGCTTCCTAAAACTGTATTTTATTTTACTAAGATTTTTCAAAATTTCTTGCATTTTGAAAAGTGAAATAACTGACAACAGAAAAACTTCTATACTTCATTTTGGAAAAACAAGTCATGATTCTTGTGCCCAAATACAGCTTTTTGAGAGAGTTTTCAGAAACCTTAAGAATCACCCACATCCTCCATTAGCATTACCTGCTCTTAGTAACTCTGAGTGCTGTGCCTAAACTCAGAAACTTAAGACTTCCAGGGTTAGTGAATGAAAACACATCTCTAAGCAGATTCCACACTCCCCTCCCCCCCAACCCCAGGTGGCAAGCTCTCAAAATACAAGAGAAATGGAAAAAGAAGAGCATAACAACTTCCCATCATTGTATTAAGTCTCCCAGACAAGTGAGTCATTCTGAGCTTACTACTTCTGTGATAGTTTTGGATAATTCAGACCTGTGATTTGTTTCACTCAGTGGGCAGCCATAACAGCAGGGATGTACGATTGATCTTTATACTCCTCCCTGAGTTTAAATCCAAAGGGATGAATGCAGGCGCCTTTTCTTTGTATTTACCTTACATTGTAGTCTTTCCGTCAGACTGCTGAGGATACATTTAATGGAGATTCTGATCAATTTGGTAATTCAGAATCCATCCTGCACTCCGGGAAAGTAATTCGGTCTAATTCTAAATTCTAATTCTAAAAGAAGACAAGATTTCAGTGGTCACTAGAAGAATCCATAAAACCCATGTGTACAATTTTTTTAGTTATGAACATTAATGAACATGATACCTTCACAATCCTGCAAACTGTTTGGTTTGACCAGCTCCTCCACCTTGACATGGGCCTCCAAATCACCAATGTTCTATAGATCAGAGAGTCAATTTCTGATTGAATACCTTTCTGTAGGAATTGTGCCACACACTTACAGGTCAACAGAATCAACTGGAAAATATCTGTAAAGTTATTCCAAATCAGACAAACATGAGATGTCAGAAAGGTACTGATACACACAGGTATCTGTCACGCAAATACTGATACAAGCAGCATAAATCTGCACAGCTGTATTATCTTTAAGGTGTTGTGTCTGTTCATAGTCATAACCTGCTTGGCAATTCTGATGGGTTGCGCAATATGGTTGTTTATTTCAAAGAGCCATAGATGGATTTAGCAGCTTCTGTCAGTGGGGATCGAAAAGAAAATATTGTCCTGTTATCCCTCAGAAAATCACTATATCTTAAAGAAAGTCCTTAAAGTGCTCATCATATTTATGTTTGTCTGAGATGACTTCCCATTGGTTAAAGGTAAACTTAGTTGGCTTCACTGTGAATAGAGAAGACATGAATTTCAGCATCTTGTTATTTCTTCCAAGAAACTTCAACTAACTATGTGTAGGATCAAGTGTTAAAACTGTCCTTTTAAAAATGTCCCCAAAATTTGCCTGCCATAAGATGTCTCTGCAAAATGGAAATACACTTCCTCTTCCATAGGGGAGAATAGTTTACCTTTAGTAATTAGATTAGAGCAGGTTGCCCAGAATGGATGTGGAGTCTCCCTCCTTGGAGATCTTAAAATGCTATGTGGATGTGGTCCCGGACGAGCTGCTGTAGGTGTCCCTGCTTGAACAGGGAGTTGGATCAAGGGGTTGGACCTCCAGAGCTCCCTGCCAGCTTCAACCAGTCTGTGCTTCTATGATCATTAGTCACTCAGCTACAGATGTCTGCAAAAAAAAAACCACTATTCACATTTAAGATTATAAGTTTATACAAGACAGTTACTTACGCATCAACAGCTCCATATTTTGGTGATCTTGCTAGGAAATAATATCATCCCTGCTGCAGATGGAGAGGTGAGTTTGTGTTTTGTGGAGTCAGTTGACTTCAATGGAACTGGGAGTAATGACAAAATATGACAGAATTCAGTGTGGAGTTGATTAAGTCCTCTTTGGTCCCCAAATGGCAGAGGTTAAAAAGGACAGCTAAAGCCTTTTCAAAAATAGTATGGTAAGTATCTTTTTTCCTATCAAAACAAAAAGGAAAAAATAGCTTGATCTAAAACATTATGTTTCACTTTCTTCCTCCCAAAAGAAAAAAAAAAGGGGGTGGAGGGGGAGGGAAGAGAAAAAAAAAAAAAACAATTTTCTTTTCCTCATTTTCTGACAAGTTCGTTAGCTATTATTATCTATTTCAGCTCTGCTCTGCTGCAGTATATATGTAAGATGAAATTTACACACACAATGCCCACAGTGAGGCGTGAATTACTGAAGCCATTTGGGTAACTACTGATATCCCAAATAATCAGTACAAATCCTCCAAAGTTTAGCAAACAAACTGGCATTGGCTTTTATTTTGAACTAAATAGTAGCAAAGGCAAAGACAACACTGAACTTTGAATTCTACACCAGTACCACAATGGTTTGCAGAAAAGTGTGCCTCAGTATGCAGGAATCCTTCAAGGAGAAAATACATAGTTTTCTGGAAAAAGAGGAAACTTTGCTGGAACTAGATGGTTTTTAAGGTTCTTTCCAACCCAAGCCACTCAATGACTCTATGAAATTAAATGTCTATAACACTTCTTCACAACCACTTATTGTTTCATTGGAATGGATTTTATTTTATTTATTTTATATTTTATTTTATTTTATTTTATTTTATTTTATTTTATTTTATTTTATTTTATTTTATTTTATTTTATTTTATTTTATTTTATTTTATTTTATTTTATTTTATTTTATTTTTTCTCAAAATGGAACTCAATTTTCTTCATTTTGAACTGGCAGTGGAAGAAGCAATGGCTACTACTAGTCATTACTCAGACACATACCAGTCTATAAAATTTCTTCAGATACTTTTCAGACCCATTTAACCTCTCTTCAGTTGCAAAAGATCTTAAAAGATCTTAAAAAGTGCTTGCACTCTTTGGACTAGAAACACATACTTGTGCTCAGCTGCCTTAATGATTTATGGGTCCTAAACCACAGCACATTTTACAAGACACACGATATGTTTTACAAGTCCCATCACTGAGCACAATATAAATAATCCCATCTACTAGTAATAGGTCCAATGGCTCTCTGAATTTATTAACTCTTGGTCAGTTCTTGCCTCAGTCTCATTAGATTCGTTGGTGTACTTATACCTGTTCTTGCCCAGGTGTCAGTGTAGTTATCTTTTCCTCTGTCTGAGGACAGCCAACTATAGACTTCTCAGTGGATTAGGTAAGAAAAAGAGTTTTTTATAAGATATATTCAATCATCCAGGTGAAGAAATGCTGAGCTCAGGATTCTGCAACTCTTGCATTATGTCATTGTCTTGACCTATTAAAACCCTAACATGATTTATAATATTGAATTTCAATTATTAAAGCCCCTGATTTAAAACAAATGGGGCATCAGATTTTCTGTGTTGATGCTGACTCCATGCATTGAACCAACTAGATAATATGAGATACCAAATACCACCCTTACTCTGTCAAAATTTGTGTGCTGCCTAGGGACAGCACAGCATGCAACTGGCCAGACAGCACATCTCTGGGACACTTAATTCAGTGCAAGAGAAGTGTGTTGGCAGGTATTGCCAGTTCACTGCACTCACAGCCATAGGCATCCCCATTTCAATAGCATGTTCTTTTGGTGTCAAGTTAACTGTCCAAGCAGGGAGGAGGCTTTACATATTAGAAGAAAGCAGCATAATATGCTTCTTTTTCCTGACTGTCCATGAAACAAACAGAAAAGACTGAAAAAGAAAAACATTTTATAATTTGAAATTTTCAGTTAGGTTGGTGCATATTCCTACATAAATAATAAAAACAACAGCTCATAAAACCTTCTT